TCAAAAGGTAGTAGAACGCGATAAAATCAACATCAAAGGAATTTTTATGCTGCAAGGAGAAAATTCAATACAATACAAAATTCTCGCCCCCCACGAAACCCGAACCCTAGTCTGATTACAAAGCGTCACCCTTACCACTGCACCGATCCGCCGCTGGTAGACTCGTCACATCCATGTAATTCAAGTTCGCTCATGTTAGGCCTCACAAAAAATCATCTCATAACTCCATTCAAATAATCGCTTGGCAAATTTGGAACGCAGATTTGAGATCAGTATCCAAAATTACGTCTAATAGTATGGGTCTCATTCCAAATGACCAATTCGATTTGGGATCCTTCCCTGGTAAGAACAGTACTCGATGCAAGAACTCGAAAATTCACGCTAATACCACGAACTCGCGTCTTTTTCGTCTTTTCTTCATAAATCGGTTCAGAGTGTAGTATCCCAGGAGCTAGAAATTCTGTTGAACTCAGCTCGTTCAACTCTATAAGAATATACCCTGAATTGTTGAAAATGCCTTGTTTTAGATTGCGCCATGCACTTGAGTCCCATCTGAAAATTAATTGCATGTACATGGGGTGCACGCTTTAGTGCTTGCAGCGGCTGATTGGTCCCTCAGGATGAAGCGTGCAGCTTTCGCTCTGGGGTGTGCCACGTACTCGACTTTACTGGGTAGAATTTGAAAATTGTTGATCGTTTTTATTCAGTTTCCTTCGTTTATTTCTAATGTGAAGGCTGTAGATGACTGCATCTACAGTCTCTGCTCTCAACACTCCTCCTTACAAGTCCCATTGAGCATCACCATTTTACGGCAAAATGATCGAGTCCATTTTTCGATGTTCTCCAAACTTTGGAAAGGTTTTCTCCGAGAGTGAGGAGATGGCATTTGTCGCAGGCAACTCTTTGTTCTCTGCAAGGCTGTTATGGTACACCCTATCAGAGATCAAAATTGCTCTCTTGGTATGACTCGAAACTTCGAACTTCGTCGTTTCCTGGTGGGCGTGTTTGGATACGCATGTTGCCGGGTACTGGGGGATTTGGAGGCTTTTGAACGATAATTATTTGAATGGGGGATTAGATATGCTGACGGCGGGGTACTGAAGTGGCGAGAAGGGGGCTTGTTTGAATGATGATTGTTCGAGTGGGTGCTAAGATTTGTAGGGACGGAGTAGTGTAGTGGCGGGAAAGGGAGCAGTTTGAGTTGGAGTTCTGAAGGGGGCGGGTCCGAGAAGGTGGGTCATTTGAATCTTATTAATACGACCCCACTTGCTTTCCCAATTCGAATCTCCGCCCCCACCCCTATAGGACCTAGCCTCCTGCAAATGTTATCCTCCTGTTCAAATAATCTCATTCAAACTCTCCCGCCTTCTCACTTCTCACCACCCTCCCTTCAAACAGCCTCGTAATTCCCACTCAAATTGCCCCTTTCCCACCACTACAGTATTCTGTCTCTGCAGATCTCACCACCCACTCGAATAATCACCATTCGAACCAACCCCCTTCTCGCCACTTCAGTACCCCGCCAGCATATGTAATCCCCAATTCAAGTAGTTATCGTTCGAAAGCCTCCAAATCCCCACCACTACAGTACCCGGCCACATGTGTATCCAAACAAGCCCAGCAGGAGACGGCTCAGCTCGAGGCAGGGGAAGAAAATGGTTATGAAGGGAGGATTTCATCACGGGTTGAGCCATATATCATTCGATAGCATTTTTTACGGGGAATTTAACTGTTTGACTTAGCTGCAAAAAGGCCAACAAAAAAGGAAAAAACAAGTTATATGATTTGGGCTCGAAATTTGGGGCCATGCCAAAGAAAAATTTTGATCTCTGATGAGTGTACCATAACAGTCTTGCAGAGAACAAAGAGTTGTGTGCGATAATACAGTGCCTCAACGCCATCTCCCCAGATCTCGAAGAAAAACCTCTCCAAATTTTGGAAAATGTCAAAAAAAAACGACTCAATTATTTTGCCGTAAAATGGTGTCATATTCGCAATGGAACTTGTAGGAAGGAGCGTTGAGTGCAGAGACTGTGGATGTAATCACCTACAGCCTCCACATCAGGAATAAACGACGGAGACTGAATAAAAACAATCAATAATTTTCACATTCTACTGAGTAAAGTCGAGTACGTGGCCCACCCCAGAGCGAATTCTGAACACTTCATCCTGAGGGACCAATCAGCCACTACAAGCACTAAAGCATGCACCCCATGTACATGCAATTAATTTNTTTCAGATGGAATTCAAGTGCGTGGCGCAATCCAAAACGAAGCATTTCCAACAATTTAGGGAACAATCTCACAGAGCTGGACGAGCCGAGTTCAACGGTACTTTTAGCTCTTGGGATACTACGCTCTGAACCGATTTATGAAGAAAAGACGAAAAAGAAGCGAGTTCGTGGTATTCGCGTGAATTTTCGAGTTCCTACGACAAACACTGTACGACCTCATCCCGCCATTATAGGAAGGTCGGAATCGATGAGTGAGGTCCAAATGTTTCATTACCGCGCAACGTATTATAGCCCAACTCTTTCCCCACAATCTTAGTCTATGAGACTCAAGGCTAATAGAAAAAATTGATGGCTGCTTAGAGAACATTTCTGCGACACTAAGTTGTGGTTCGGAAACTTTTTGAAATACTTTTCCACGTACTCGTTCAGCTTCGTGGTGATCGTCCCTGCGTTGTTTTCGTCAAACCATGTGGCGTTCTGTGCCAATACTGCTTTCACGAATTCCTTGCGTATACGCCCAACAATATTATGACTAGCCAACGCGAGAAAATAATTCTGAAGGTTTTTGGGGACGACAGTCCATAGAATACACGTCCAAAAACTATTACCTGCAGATAACACAAAATAAAAAGCGCAGTACCAACTCCAAAATAGCCCGCACAGAGACTCATTGCCTGCATCCATAAGGTATCATTACCGACATGCTGTAAACAGCTGAGCCACAGTTGGAGCCAAACTTGGATTAGGTTTAGATAGATAGCCCTCGAGGCAAGCCTGATCTTACAAATGGCCACCGAGCTCAGGCATAGTTTGTCAATACTGCACCCCCCCCCCCCCTCTCCAGCATACTCAGCTGCTACAGACTACCTTCCCATACTCTGTTTCGTGGGATATGTATGTATAATGACTGAAGAGCGAATCCCTTGCCCCCATCAAAGCGATTCCCTAATCTCCCAAGAGTTAGTCCTACCGATAGTCGTTAGTAGCCGAGAGCCATGTCAATTCTTGGTCGATCAAAAAATGAGTGCATATTGGTTACAGTTGTGATGATGTTTAGTAACAAGTCACATACATCGGTGTTCATCAGATAGATGTTAACGTAAAGCCCTCCAAAGATGCACGTCAACGGCAGGATTGCTCCGACTACGACTGCAAGTACGAAGCCAGCAGCTACATAGTAACAGTCCTTTCGAGAGGCATATCGGAACTGAAATTCTATTGAAGCATTGGCTCTCTGAAATGTTGCTTTCTGCATTCCCTGTCATAGTGGATATCATCCAGCCCTTATGATGCAAGCATGGTGTCCAAATTACTCTATGGAATCACCAGAATCGACCAAGCTTGAGCTTTAGAGCAGCAAGAGAAATAACAAGTAAGATTTGTGCGCTTACCAGTTCTGCAACGGGCACTGGCTTTCGCTCCAACTTCTCTGTCGACAGATCACCTCTGAAAATGACAATATGCGCTGCCTTTTTCTTATTATTAATAGTTTTATTTCATCAAATCAATTCGATTGACGACTAATTACATAAGGAAATATTATTTTCGATTGGCAGAATATTTGATTAGTTTTCTCGCGTTTCGGCCAAATCTTCATAAACCGGCTGGAAAGCACGCGCAATAACCAATATGATTGAAGACACAGAAGTATGATGACGTCTTACCTACATAAAAGTACGTCAAGCAGTTTTTCGAAAAACGTCCTTGAAATCGAGCGTTCGTCGATTTTCACCCCAGTCATAGCTTACAGAGAGCGGATTCTCGGCATTTCCAATAGATAATGGTCCATTTGTCCTTCCACAGAAAGATCTAGAATTGCCTTTCGTAATTATTCTTTTATTCATTAAGAATGGTAAAAATGAGAAAAAAAATGGGAATTCATTGCCACGAATGAATAATCATTTTCCAAGGGGACTGTAACAGGACAACACGACAAGGAGCTTCTTCGGAATTAAAGTCACCATTTCGTCATACTAAAGCTTACCATCTATTTAAAAAAGTTGCAAGTCGATGTGTCATGTGATCTATGAGTGACTTTGATGTGCTATGAGAATGCTCCCTCTAGGTACCGTTTGACCACGGTCCGCGTCGAGCCGTCGGGGCCGCCCCACCGAGGCCTTTCCGTATCGGTGGTTGCTGGGCAGGGCGACCCCGCGGCGTGAGCTAGGTGGCCGGGGTCTTCTGCTCGCTCGCTCTGCTAGTGTCCATCTGCCACACGCCATAATAGGCCTGGGCTGTCCTAGTCCCCTTGCGTCCTCCTAGGGGCTGGTACTGCCTCCGCAGTGCGCTGGGGGTTGACTAGTGCCGAGTTCACTCGAGGGCGCTGGGCGAGTGGTCCTACCAAGGCCTGCAATGATCCACCCGGCGCCCAGGATGGCTGGCTGACAACAACACTTCACGTACTGAGCCCACATTATGGATTACTAGTTGTATGCACACTATATGTCGACTGCCACTTATCCACGATAGAACCCTGCAAACCCTTCCCACAATAAACTTGACCACCCTTCTTTTGACTGCTCCAAACCATTTTTTTCCGCATTCCAGAAAGTTTTTGAAGAGATGAAATTTACGTCCTAGCCACTCTTCCATGTGCCAGCTCAGCCCCCTTCGAGGACTTAATTACATTTGTTCCAATTCCTCCTACCACTTTTTTCCCGCGTTCTAGAACGTTTCTGAACAGAGTTATGAAATTTGATCTAAGCCCCGCCCACTTTGTTGCCAGCCAGCCCTCTTCCGGGATTAGACCACATTTGTTCTGACATTTGTTCTTTTACACCTTGACACCTTTTTGCCGCATCCCAGAACGCTTCTGAATAGAGTTACAAATTTTTGATCTGAGCCCCGCCCACTTCGAAGTTTCGGCCACACTTGTTCCATTACCTCTAACCACTTTTTTCCCGCACTCTAGAACGTTTTTGAACGAAGTTACAGTCATTTTTA